AAATAAATTTCTAATTAATGTTAACTTCTACAAACGGCTACACTTTGAATGTAACCTATCCAAATTAACTTTTTTTCGAGCCTAATATACATGATTAATTACGAGCTATCGAATGAGGTCCATATGGATATACTTATTTTCGCCCTATCGAAATCCAAATATTCAGTCCAAATAAAACTGTATTAATACATATATCACTTTAGTTCCCCAACTTTCCAAAATTTAAAATATAGCATAATTAATTTCATTCTTTGAAAATTTTCGGGACCTTACACCAAAAATATCCCATCCATCCAACAGGCATGTGCTCCAACCAACTTCATCCATTCCAAATACGTGAACTGAATATGGAACAGATGCAAGTAGAGGGTGAGTCCCCATAAATATTTGCCCAATAAGAATTGAGCCTACAATGATCTCTGTGAATGGAAAAGCCACCAAAATTTAGCGAGAAAGTACTAACCATGTCATGCAATCTTGTGAAGCCTTGTCCACCCTCATCAGGAGAAAGGCAAAGATTTTACCGTCTCCTCTAGAGTGATCTACACGCTTGGTCCTTAAAATTCCGAAGAATCGTGCAAAAATACTCTCTAAATTCTTGAATATAGCCGTAGAAGTCTACATGATTTGAAGTAGATAGAGTGATATGAGAAAAAAGGGACTTCAATTGTGGGATCTGACCTCAAAAGATAATGACGATATGCCTAACCTAATATCCTGTTCTTGACCTTCTAAATAAGATCATCATATAAGAAAATCTACTCAACCCCTTTATATAAAAGGACTTGCAGATATGTAAATGGCTGTTACTTGTGTCTAAAGCAAGTTAAATGCTCCAATCTCCTGTTCTGGTTAATGGATTCCTTTCAAAGCAGTATAAGTCTATTCTTATCTCTATTCATCAATTGACCAAAAATGCCTTCATAATGCACCAAGAAATCAAGTAACCTCCGAATAGTCTGCTTATGGTCGTTGGCGAATATAATCATGTCATCATCAAAAGATAAATGTGAGATAAGAGTATACATCCATGACGATAAAGTACATAGGGTAAGTCTGAAACTGCAGTATGAGTAAGCAAAACAAGTAGTTGATAGCAATGATGAAGGGAGATGCCAAGATGTAAGTAGTTGATAGCAATGATGAAGGGAGATGCCAAGATGTGATTGCCCTGTCGAAGACCCTGAGAAGAGGGAAAGAACCCATAGGGAAGGCCATTCAAGAGTATGGAGAATCGACATTTCAAAATGCACTGCCTGATCCTATAAATCCATAGCTGATCATATCCAAAGCCATCTAGAATAGGATAAAAGAAACACCAATTCATGCAATCATATGCTTTAGCTATATCAAACATGAGCATTGTGTTCCCTCATCTCACTTTAGTATCCAAAGTGTGGAGAAGCTCCTGAGCCAATAAAACATTATCCCCAATTAGGCGACCAGGAATAAACCACTTTTTGAGGAAGTATAATACGCAACAACACAGTACTCAATCAAGTATTTAATAACTTAGTGATAAGCTTGTTAAACATCGGACATAAGCTAATCAGTCTAAACTTCGATCATCTACGAGCCCCACTTCTCTATGAGAACAAAACAATAGAAGTAGCAGTAAAATCGTTGGGTAGGTGACCATCAACAAATAAGTCTAACATAGCTTGAAACACATCATTTGGTATGATATTCAAACAATGCGAGTAAAGTAAAGATGAGAAGCAATTAGGGCAAGCGACATTGTCAGCATCAATACTAAATATCGTCTCCCCTACCTCATGAATCGAAGGGGAATGATTAAGTGCCAGTTATCCATTTCAGTCACAAGCCTGTGAATAATGTTGGGACTTAATGTTGGGACTTATAGGGCTCACAATTTATGAATGAGCGGATTGAAAATCCTAATAAAATGAGAGAATCAAACTTTGAATCACATCAAGAGTAGATATAACTTTCCCTGACTATATCTTAGTGGACCAAATACTAGATCGAATGTGACATCTCTGAACGAATGAGTAAAATTAATGGGTGTTACAATCCCATTCAATACACTATGCATACTGTAGTGAATCACAGGAATTAATACCCCAAATAGTCACTGAACTTTGCAAAAAGCTCCTAGGAGGTCATTAAACTTCAAAACTTCCCAAATAGTCACTAAACTTTGCAAAAAGTACCTAAGTGACTATTTAAGGAAGTTTTGAAGTTTAGTGACCTCATAGGAGTGTTTTACAAAGTTCAGTGACTTTTTAGGGAAGTTTTGAATTTTGGTGACCTTTTGGGAACTTTTTTGCAAAGTTCAATGACTATTTAGGGTATTAACCCAAATCACAGTGCTCTAGTTTAGGCTCCAAATCATACTTCCTCTCTACCTTATCAACCCTACACTCAGCATCTCTAACCCTTTACAAAACATCACCAAATACATGTTGATTTCACCAACACAGTCATTATTTAAGCCTAAGGAACTTTTTCCAGATAGTAGCCATTCAGGTTAGATGAGTAGAAAGTGACCATTTTTGAGAGACAAAATCTAAGAAGGCGTGGTGCTTGGTCCAACCGTTGAGGAATTGAAAAGCCTAGGCCCCGAGTCATCATCAGCAAACCACTATAGAAGTAAAGGCGAATGATACACTCCTAAGCCAATACTCAGAAACCTCTTATTCTGGCTTTCCAAGCAAAGCTAAAGTAATCCAGTCCAGAGACTATAAGGGAATTCAGGTTAGAAGAATTCTACTCAAACAAAGTGATGGCAGAAGCTGAATCATTCCTCATTTACTTCAAGCCATAGATGATAGCTAAGTCGGTTCACCAGCTATTTTTGATCTTGGTTGGCTTTTCACCTCTAACCACAAGTCATCCCCATTTTCTTTTGTTAATAAAATAATAATACAATCATCGTACTTTAAAGAGAGAGGAGAACACACTATAGCTTAACTACTTGCCTTTAACGACTAGAGTTTCGATCGAGCTGAAACGGGGTCGGCTCGGCTCGTGTGTTTAAGGGCCGAGTTGAGCCATCTCTAGTCATGAGTCGAGCCCGTGCTTAAGGGGCGAGCTCGGCTCGACCCACGAGCTTTAATTTTCAAACTTTTTCTTCACATTTTTTACTAGCTTACAAGCTCGTGAACTTTGGCTTGTGGGCACAATCCATGAACTGCTCACGAGCTCGACGAGTTGAGCCTTGCTCGGCTAATACCTAAGCCCTCGTCCATTGGTAGGGTGGACATTACTCATAATGAGCCACACACGAGCCTGAGCCGCCCACGAGTTGAGTGGTCGAGTCGACGAGCAGCTCGGCTCATTTGACATCTCTACAGAAAACTGTGGACAAAAAAATGCAGCCACCAAGTTAATTAGCACTCTATCCAATCTCGTACACATCGACCGTTGGTCCAAGTAAGTGACACCAAAGAACCCAGCATAAGCTAGACCACAATCCATCATGTCAGAGAAGTCCATAGTACCTCTATTATGAGTGTTGTACCACTTGCCTAAAGTTTTAGGGCTTGCTGGGAGTTTTTTTTTCCCCACCAATTTTGATCGATTTTTGGGCGGCACCATTTATGAGAGTAGGAAAATTTGGTTCTTGCTAGTTTTTTTTTGGCATTGATTTCAGATGGTTTAAAAACCACCCAAAATTGGTGTTGTGTAATTTTGACCGATTCTGTAAATCGATAAAATTGGTTGGTTTTGGCCGTTTCTTATATTTTCTTTTAATTTTATCGTTTATGAAATAATTTTCTACAACTAACGTATTTTGTTCAAAATTAACTTGTAAATAAAAGTATATTAACTTAAAAATTATTTATAAGCAAACAAAGTTAAATTATAATTAAAATTACTTATAACTAAATATTATTTATAAAATAACAAATCACTTTTGTGTAAAATTTGTTTATAAATTAAAAAATACTACTGATAATACAAAAATTCACTTATAGAATATAAAAGTTATGTGTAAAGAGTACTTAAGAGTACAAAATTACCTTGAAATTGTATAGTTTATCTACAAGTAAAAAATACTAACTTGAAATTTTAAGTAAATACCTAAGGCTGCGGTTGGTTTAGTTTTTTGTTTTTCATTTTCAGTTTCAAAATGGTTTTTAATCTTCCCTGAAAACGCCACGTTTTGGGCATTTTCCACGTTTTGGACTTTTATAACTAAAAACGCTCAAAATGATAAAAAACCGCTTTGCATTTTCTATTATAAATTTTACCTCGTTTTCGAAAACGACGAACAAAATGTGTTTTCAACATTTTTGAAAACAAAAAACGGCCCAAAAACCCCAAACCAATAGCAGCCTAACTTTTTAAGTTAAATACTAACTTATAGGTAACCAAACAAAAAAAAATAGTTATAAGTAAAATATAATTTGAGTACAAAAATTTCATACAAGAACTATAAACTAAAAATTTCACTAAGGGACATATATATAATTTTATTTTGTTAAAAAACTTTTACAACCGGTGAATAATAAACTCTCAAGCATTGGTTGAACTTTTGTAAAAACCGCAACCTTTCGTAACCTATTCGTGCTCATATATACAGTTCATATTATCATTTTGCGGGTTTCTGTTCCATTATATACACCTGGAGAAGCAAGTTAACTGGTCCTTGACTGACGGTAGTGTTCCAAAGAACAAGATGTAAAAAATTGGCCAGTTAACTGTTAGCGCCTAGCCTTTAGCCATGGAAGTCCTTCTGTCTCGATTCCTCTCCTTTTACCACTTGGGGGATGGACAAAGACAAGTATTCTGTTGGCAGTTTTGTTCGTGTTCGTGTTCCCATTCCATCCCCACTTGAGGACACTACTCTGGCCTGATAGCCTGCTAGAAAAATATGTCTTGAGGTCCAGTTTTTCTCGAATCAACCTGCATTTCTTATTTTCTCATTTTACTTTTCAGTTTTCTCGTTACGTAATGGGCTGTCTTGTCATAATTCCCATTCCATTGAAACGCTTGAACATCAAGGAATCTTTCAATTGAGTCAGGGCAGTCAATATGAAAACGATATGCTTTCAAGACATAAACTTCAGGCATAAGAAGAGAAGTTTCACTAAAAATGAAAAGAAAAAGAAAAAACTAAGATGGCAAACAAAGCCCACCAAGGTAAGGTTTGCACTCAATCATCCATATATGAATATGAAAGTGAACATATGAACCTACCAACAGATAAAATAGCTTATAGAAGAGAAGAAAATGATTATGCAGAAGTAAACCTTCACTCTAAGATGGGAAGGAAGAGCGCCAATGAATTGCCGGTTAGCATTAAAATCGACCTCTAGACGTGTTGCTGAAACCACATGTAAATATTCCGAGGAGTTTAGTGTTCGTTAATTGGGATGCATTTTGATGGTGGAGTTTGGCCAACCCATGTTTGAATACATCGAAATATTCTGAATTGGCTGGCCAACATTACCATAAGGTTCTGAGCCAGAGTTGAGAGGACTGCCACCATTCTCCTCGGATGAGTCACCGGAGGCATCTGGGGAAGGACTACCTCCGGTTACTGGAGCACCAAAATTCAACATATTTGGAGGCGGTGCAGAAGCCGGCGCAGACTTTGGGGGTTTCCCATCAGCAATAAAGCTTCCCACCACAATCTGGACGAGGAAAATATGGTTTAGTTGATATCATACTCACAAGAGAGAGAGAGAGAGAGAGAGAGCACATCAAAAAAGTACCTGTACAGGTGATGCTGCCCTAAGCATTCCAGCAACTCCACCTCCTAAGACTCTACCATCTGATCCAGCCAATGACACGCTCAGACCACCTGTTCGACTGCGGTTACCATTATTCTCTGACAGCAGGAAGGAACCTGTCAAAGAGATGATTTCAAATCGGCCCTGCAAATTGAGAATGCACCATTATGCACAAGCTCAAACAATTGAAAACATGCAAGTAAAATGGAAGTAACAAGCAAAACATTCTCAAATTGACAATGTCCTAGGCACAAACTAGGATTTGAAGATCTCTCTCTTCAAATTGAAACTTAACACAATAAATAATAAAAAGGGTTAGAATTCATTTGATCAGTCCATGTACATATGATGATTTCTGAGATCGCCAAACTTTTGACATTCAATTAAAGCATATAATGCCGACCTTCAATAGAAGTCCATAGTTTAATTTCAGTGTTCAACACCCATTCCTAGGCAAATTTATCGAGAACGAATTGTTGGACATGTAATATATCTAATGAAAAATTGGATGAAAATAGAGCTGATAGACTGAAATGGAATGTGCAACTTCACTTAAATATGATATGGAGCCTCAAGAACTGGTACTGTCACCACAGCCTGTTAGCTTAACAAGTATATCTGAGCCTACAGACTGTGAAATGCATAAATACTGATATTGGCAGGCTTAGCATGGACACACATGTAGGACAACAAGACATGGAAAAGTTATGTATGACACATCACTAGATGACTACATTAACAACCTCACGCGACTTCCATCAGGAAAAAGGGTATCATAGACAGCCCATACAGTGCCATTGAGATCTCACTTAACCATATATAGCAGTTCTAACAAAATTTTAAGCGTCCAAACTAAATATTTAAACATGGACAGGTCTAAACTGAATATTCTGCAGACCTCATATGTTACTGTGCCACCGGACATTGCTGGTTGACGGAGCGTGACATTGCAGATGGCACCATTAGCAGACAGAACACAAACAGTGCGTGGTCCTTGCTGTGAGAAAGACATTATCTTAGAAGCTACATCCTGCAAAAGAAGGTAAGTAGGTCAGCAAACAAAGAGATAAATTTATGAAAGTTTTCTCATTGCATAATTGAAATTAGGAAAATTTGAACGGGTAACACCACAAAAGACCTCAAAAGTATTTTAAACAAGTCAAAACAAATATTGATTGCTCGAGAACCCTCAAAATCGGTACAAACATTAATTAAGAAAGCCAAACACGAACGCAGTTGCCACTTATCAGCCTCGGTTGGGGATGTAGGGTAGGTAATATGAATCTAAACCATAGCTGTTTCACAAACAAAATAACCTTCCAACCAAGCAATCTCCTCCAAGTATTTACCTAGCTGGTCTCGGCCATCAGATGAACATATTCTATAGTGAAAAAACACTCTCAAATGTATTGAACCCAATAACAATGGCACTTCAATCGTATTATATGTAACTATCTCACTTTGATCAATTATTTCTTTCATGTCTGATTCTTGAAAATAAACGTGTACTCAAATCGCATGTTTTAGCTAATAGTGATCCCGAGTTGCTTTTAATGCAATCATATTTAGTTTTTCTCGCGCATGGCAAGAGCATAGGATGGTTGGAAATCGGTAACCTCAAGTTGAAAATAGAGAATTGACACGAAAATTGCATTGGAAATTTCCTTTAGTGCAATTCTCTTAATGGAATGAAGTAATGAACCCAAATGGACGAAATTCTAACATGACTATGATTCTCTTGGGAAGCCTTGCAAGTTTATTTCTCAAGGTCTATTTTTTCTTTTATTCAGTTCACAAAATGGGATGTGGACAAAATGAAATTATGTGAAGATGACTGAAGGGACCATTGCTATTTGGCTTTAGACCCTTCCAAGATTGTAATGTTTTGTCCCTAAAAATTGTTTCCATCAACTTTGTTCAAACTGATAACAATTCCACTGCTTGAAATATCACTTTCTTCGAGATTTAAGGGGTATCATAATTTGACTTTCGTTGGTAATGTTAGAGGACAGCTGTAGTGTTGCCTATTTCTTTGGTAGTTTGGAAATAAATGGAATTACATATGAAGGAAAAACAACAGCTTGGCAATTAGTTGGAGATAGCAAAGCTTCCGAATTCTTTACAGGCTTATACATCAATGGAATCTATGAACCTTCCTTCATATTTAATTGCTCTTAGTTGGGACTTGGAAAATGTGACGTGCTCTTTATTCTATTTTTAAACCTTTTTTTTTAAGAATTAAGAGGATATGTTCTCTTGATGCAAGTTAAACATTTTTAAAATTTTCATTTTATGGGGTAACTTCTTTTATGCCAAAAACTGCCTTCATATCACAGCCAAATTTTGGCATGTAATTGGCAAACGATGGGGTTCAGTTAATTTCTTGGATGCGATAAATGGTGGTCCTACGACAGTGACCAATATTCCGAAATTCAAAAATGATTTCACATGGCTGCATTCACCATAATTCCCATTGTGGAGTTCATCATTATGAGAGGTCTAGGATTGTATTTATAATTATAATCAACATCCTCGTTATAATACCATCCTTCTTATCTTTAGTCTCTTCAGTACTTGAAATATAAAACTTCCCATTTCATTTCAAACTATAAGTTTATATACTTATTTTCTGTTAATGCTTCAGCTATACTCGAGATTTAGGAACCTCGCTCCAAGCTCTGGTGAGCTAGAGCATCACTACAGTATAGGCTACCTACATAATTCAGCCCTTTTCATTCAAAATTCCAATGCGAAAGGAAATATTTCCTTTAGGAAAAATTTAGCAGGACTAATGCTCATTGCGAAGCTATTGGGTTGAACTTAGATTCCCATGAAAGCAAAATAATTTACTGATTAATTACTTACAAAGAGTTGCAGAAGCCACGATTCATGACAAATTCTCTTTATAGTATTATACGGCTAAACTTCAATATACCTATATCACGGATTTATGAGCTAGATCTATTTGGCTATTACTAAACTAGTGTTCTTTAGTGATTAAAGGTTGAAATCAAAGTTATTAGAACTGGACCTGACCAGCAAGTTCAACCGAGAACCAGACCAAATACCAGTCTGGATATAGCTTAATAACTAGATAAATAAAATCTGGTAAAAATGGCACTCAACCAACCAGTTAACCATGGACCAGATGAATTTGTCACAATTTCCCAGCTTATCCGGTTCTAGTAAAAAACAGAAATAGTCCAAGGAACCTAATTTTCATGCACCACGTCGGGCGTGCTGTAGCATGCACCTGACTGTGTAACCTACTAATTATCAGGTTATAGTTTAAACCTTTGGCTTCATCCGTCTTTATTGATCATCGTAGAGAAAGATATGATCAATCAAGCTCACATCCCTTGATGCTACACATTAACCAATTCCCAAAATAAAAGTAAAAAATTGAGCAATTAGTTATATTTGTTCATGGATTCATGTGAAATGATCTCAAGAGATTTCCATAAGGAATTTCTAGCGTTTCTTCAAACATGAATATTTGAAGTCCAAATTTTAGCACATCAGCTGGCAACCTCCTATACCCTAGATCAAATAAGTTTCTTTTACTTATTTCACATAAACAGGCACTAGAGCGGATACTTGCAGATTATTATGTTACGAACTTCAGACATCTCCTCAAAGTTAACATTGGATATAAAGTGAATTATATCCTAACTTAATAAAATAGAATAACATCATATTTGTTTTCCAGCACCTTGTGTTAATAGAACTATTCAAATATCACTTTAACAAACTGACCTAATTATTATAGCTATGGTGTATCTAAAAGCAGGTCATTTTTACAAGTTGTAACTCCTACAGATGCTGCAATGTAAGAGATAATACAGAGATTCCCATGGACTATTAAGCAAAAACTGCTGATCTTGCTTCCAGTTATAGGCAAAACTATCCATAGGGCTAATTTTGTCTAAAAGATATTATGGTTCTGATAAAAGTTAACATAAATAGAACACATCAATTACCTCGCCTGCGTTAACGGTAATAACGTGTGGTGTAAAGCCAACTCCCGGTACTCCTGTCCACCAAAAATTACATAAATCAGCAAAACACTATATTTATATCCATTAAATATACATTATACATACACAGCATATAATCATAGCACATGATAAATGAACAAGTTAACAACCTAATGCGTCCATCTGCCTCTTTACAGAACCCGGAGGTCTGCCTCGGTTACGCTTCGCAGAAGTTTCCGGAGATGGGATCCCAACCCCACCGCCGCTGGAATTCCCATGAACAACCACAGATGAGTTTTGGGCAGCAGCAGTAGGTGAAAGTCCGAGCCCAATGCTGTTATCAGGGGAATACTTTCTGGGTCGGCCCCTTTTTTTCCGTGACGGCTCGATATTAAACCCTCCAGCACCGGCTGAAGGCGACACATCAGAATAATGATCCAGTGGTTTCAGCGCACCAGCCGAGTTAAACGGGAATCTAGGGTTAGAATTTGCATTCGGGTTTTGCTGATGCTGAATCATACCACTGGTGTTGTTAACGTTGGTGTTTGTGGGAGTGACAGTACTGTTGGGGTAGGAATTGTTGTGCTGTGGTTGAGTGAGCTGGGTTTGCCGGTGACCGCCGACGAGCATGGTGGGATGTGACGGCGGCGCGTGATGGTGCTGTGGCTGATGGTGCATAAGCTGTGCCGAAAAATCTTGGGAATCCATAAGAGGCGGGGAGGCGAGATTCTTGTATATAAATGTAGGATTAGAAATTCTTTTATAAATTCCGGTGTGAAGAGTACAAAGTGAAATAAAATACTGGTGGAACCGAAAGGAGGTGGACTAAAGAAAGGAAAATTACGGTTGGGCCCTCCAACTTTTCACTTTATGTGGTTATGGTCCTCAATCTATTTAAATCCGTAATTTTCCATCTCTATACGACCAAAAAAAACGTTAACATAGGTTGTGAAAATCCACGCACCATCACTTAAAAGTCAAAAGTAAACTCGTCAAATCACTTAATATTCTCTTAAATTCAAATGAAAGTTACGTACGATTTTAACATTTACATCAACGATTTAAACTCCAAAAGATCAAAATTTAAATAAGTTGGAAATTCAAAACCTCGCCTCTTAAAAAATTGAAATCAGAAATCATATCATAATAAAAGGTTGGAATTTTCTCGGACGAGGTTTACAAAGGGAGGAATTTCTCAATAGGGAAAGTGACTAATTATTCTTCCTTCATTGGATAATTTTCAACTTGTTCTTTTTAATATAAAAAAAATAAAAAATAAAATAAAAAAATTGCAATATAAATATGGTTACTCGACCAATGGTCAGTAATTAACTCGTCTAATATGACAAAATGAGAATACAATAGTAGTAACACATGAATATTATTTTTAACAAGATTCCCTCAATTAAGGGTTTTATTTGATATAATATTAGTTTTCTGAATAATCGAATAAAATTGAATCGAATAGATTTTATTTGAATTTTTTTTAATAATAATATCAAGTGATTTCAATGCACTTTTTTTTTGGATACCAAGGTGTATGCCCTACACGACTAATCATGGGGCCTACAATTCAGTCCCTCTTCACGCAGAGCAGGTAAATTGCGAATTGTGCCGCTAAACTGATCAGGGTCCAAGAGCCCTTCCAACCAATCTGTCAAAGTGCCGAGCGAATCAAACCCATGTATGCGCCTTGCCTTTCAGGAGAACTTCTGCTTTCCAGAAAATATCCTGGAATTTCAATGCACTTTCTTAAAAAAAAAAAAAAAAAGTTGAACCCCAACTTTGAAGGCTCCCACCGCCCCGACTCTAGAACTTTGTAAGGGAGGTAAATCGCGGGATGTGCTCCAGCAGGTCAGGGGACAAGAGCTATCTGTACAATGAACCTACAAAAAGTCCAATTCTATGTCTCAGAAATCGAACCCCCACACTGCGACTGCCAACAAGGCGTGAGATAACCTCACTCCTGTCCTTTATACCACTGGGCTATGTCCCAAGGGGCTTTCAATGCACTTTCTTAAATGTTGAACCCCAACTTTAAGGGTCCTCCACCGTCCCTACCCTGAAGTAACGTGAGGGAGGTAAATCGCAGGTTATGCCTCCAAGGGTACGGGGTGGAAGACTGCTTGTACACTTACACTTACTCAAGAACCAAATTCATATTTCAGAATTCGAACCCTTGACGCGACAGTCTCAAGCAAAATTAAATTTCTCCACATTCTCCTTTAACCACTTGGAGATGTGCCCTGGGGGCCTTTCAATGCACTTTCTTAAATATATAAGAGGTGGTATAATATTTCGTACAGAGCCAATATTTCGAGCGTAGACTCAATCGGCAAATAATCTTTCACGAAAGTGATTACCGGATATTAGAAGTTCCGTTATGATCTATGTCAGACTCCAACTTTAAATATGACGGCAGAAAAAGAGCGTCCGTGGCGAATTCTATCAATTAAAGAATACTCGACTAATTGGGCTCTCTGATTTCAGTTCGTAAAATAGACTCAAATCTCACACATACAAGTTCCAGTTGTCCCTACTATGTTCATTGTTTTTAATGTACAAACCCTGCCTCTGAAACTATGTATATTCACTGTCTCCCTGTTTCTACAATAAACATTTATGGGGGCAATATATGCAGATACAAACAATCAGCCTTCGCTGGTAAAGTGTGAAAATGTCCTTTTGAAACTAGCGATTTAGCTCCCTGTTATACACCAGCGTCATAATCTCCTTCAATCTTTACCTTCTAGTTTAAGCTGTTGAAGTCTCTGGCGTAGTCTTCGTCGGTGATCGTGGATTTTCCAAAGGCCGTGGCCCAAGATGACGGCCGAGTATATGCCGTGTGTTATAATAGGTGCCAGAATATTATTCGTCTGACAACCACGAAAAATAAATGTCAGCCATATTTTCTTGAATATGATCTCAATCAAGACTTGACAATTACAAACTCATCAACTTCGATTACCTGGATCCATTCGAATCCAAGATAAAGAGCCAAAAGTGCTTCAAGTAAGGGAGAATATATCTTCTTCATTTGCCGCCTCTCGTGCCAGGCTGCAGGTATAAATATACCACTTAGATGCCACATGAAACATTATTATGCTAAAAATGGAAACTAGAAGATCATAAATATGGGGAAAATGATTGAACCTGCAAATAGTTTTTTCAGTTCTTTGCGGCCGGAATGGGACTTCAGTATTGGCGCAACTACGTAGGTGGGGTCTGAATACAAAAATGAGAAATTTTCAGGTACAGATCATATTGGTATATAGACAAGGACTTGAAACACTTGGAGGAATGATTAAACCAACCTTTCGGAGAGGCTGCCATGTAGTAAAGTGAACCTGTAAGAGCAGCAGTAATGACAGCAGCAAATCCCTGTGCAAATGGTACAAATGGAGGAAGCACACCAGCCTATATTGAAAGAAACCAGCAAGCAAATCAGAACTGACTTTCTACATTTAGATGTAGGATCAAATAGCGAAAACATAATCAAGATTTTAGTTTAAGCCCCTGTTTGATCCTCATTAAATTAAATTACATTACATTCTATTTTTCTCTCTCCTATTTTCAACCGCACAATCTTTCATAAAATAATATTACACGTAAATCGAAAACTTTTCCTTCTTTTTCAACCACTCATTTTTCTAAAAAATATTATTCCCCCCATTTTCATTTTCAGGTAATGGGCATCAAACAGGGGCTAAACTAAGATATTTGATTGTAGGTCACATTTATGACTTCAAGGAACAGGGTCAGCAATTTTACCAGAGATGTCATTCCTCGAGCATCTCCAACCAAATCACCGCTCCTCAAAAATACATCAGCCAGGGCTCCCTGCAAAGATAGACAAATAGAAACTAAGAATTCTTGTCAATAAACAGGGATCGGCTACAAGAATCTGTTTTCACCATTTCCTTCATTAGTCTATAGGAAGGTCTTATGTAATCAAATCCTCAGCAATCAAGTATGCCATGTTAATTTTGAGGAACAAATGCCACTACTAAAAGATCAACTCTTTTATGACATATGGTAATGTTTTCACCATTTTGTTCCGTTCATCAGTATATGTATAACAAGATCCATTGCAATTATTAGTGTATTCACAAACAATCGTTAGCAATCATGTCACGCCTTGTTAATGTGGAGGAAAAATCACATTGCTATTAAACGATTGACTTTGTCATGACATACATGTCGTGCTTAATTTATTGAGCAGGATTAGAAGGTTGCTAAAATCTAATTAAAAAGCTACCTGCGACCCAAAAACTACGATGCTGATCAAGTTTAATTGTAGCTATTTGCTATTAGTTGATTAACTGTAAGTAGTTGAAGTCATTTGAGCCTAACATTATTCTAGAGTCAACTGTCAAGAAAAGATCAGGTCACCAGCAGAACTGACCTGAACAGCAGCACGGTAGAAAAGCTCCTCTCCAATAGAGCTCGCAGCAACAATGAGTATAAACTGTAACATCACATTGAGATGTATCGATATAACTATAACAATCAAGGACCCACAAAAAAGACCTGTCAATATCACAATGTGCCAAATGCTTTACCTGCCATGGTGACATTCCGTAAAAGAAACTCCGTAACTCCTCGTCCTCTACATCTCTGATTGCACGAGCATGAGGTGATAATTTTACAACTTCATCCTGCAAGTGTGATCGTTTGCTTTAGAGATTCAATAAATAAGGGAGAAGAGCTTTAGCGTTTGCATTCTTCAATAAATATTATAACTCAAGCCGCGAGGACTTCTACGATCGAAGAATTAAGAGTATGTTTGGCAAAGTTAATTTTAATTTAAGTGGATCAAACATATTTTTTATCCAAACATTTCCTAGGACCCACGACTTACTATCCAGATGACCCACAATTTATAAGCACTTAAGCAATACCAAACAACACTAAAGAGAAAACTAAAGTCATTTTTACTTAAAACTTTTGTCTCTGAACATTTTGAATACTAACTTTTTTATTGCTTATCATTTAGTTGTGCCAAGTCAAACTTACTTTTAAATAGTTGTTTAGACAAACATGATTTTCAAAGTTACATTTTTCGCTCACAAAACTTACTTTTCTAGAACACAAGTCTAAACTAACATTATAGAGAATTAAGTTTTAAGCATAACCAAACATGCTATAAATGCTTCAGGCAACAACGTTCACGAGAGACCGTGTGAAGAATATATAATTGAGTTTGAGCTCTAACTTACGTCTAGTATAAATAGAAGGGCCATAATAGGAGGAGCTGCATATCCCAATCCCTCCACAATGGCATCTAATGACAGATCAAAACCTCCCGAGGTATCAATTCCAGTGATCGAGCATATAAACCTTCCTACCAAAGCCATGGCACCATATATTCCTAAAGCCACAAAAGTAGCCAAAAATTAAATTAGAAAGTGTCATTCTCCTTAATGTAAAGAATTCCCATGAACTCTTTTTTCTGTAAAAATCAACATGACACTTTTTTCTAGTGATAAATGAAGAGAATTCTTCAGTAGGCCATTGAATCATTCACATGAATCAATCATAAGGTGGGTAAAAAAGCCATTGGGAGTGGTATCATATAGTTTTTCAGCCAAATAATGAGAATCCACTTCTCAAAAAAAAAGTCTCTTTTCCCATTTAAAGTACAGATTTTGCTCTCCGCAAATAAAAAGCACCCTTGAATTACATTCAAAGAATTTATTTACTTTTTGCACACTTTTATTGATAATAAAAAACTTTCCTTTAAAAAAAGTAACTTTTAACATCAGCCAATTGACTATGGAGAAACAAAAACCCTATCTTGTTAATACTGTAACTTCACTTTTATGTTCTCTTTAAACTGCAATTATATCTTCATAGTTAATTAAGGAGAAATCAAATCCCATTTTAATTTCCTTATTTATTCATATATCAGCAAATGAACATAAAAATAATATTCCTCCAGTAAATGAATGGCAAAAAAAAAAAAAAAAAGTAAAAGACTTACCAATTCCATAACTTAGTCTAACAACAGTTCCAATCTTTTCCCAGACTGAAAATTCTGCATCATTAAAGCTTTCATTAAAAGTGGTAACATCAATACCCGAACCCGTCCTATATACCCGACTCTCTCTTTCTTCTCTCTCCACCGCTTTTCCACCAGCACCACTACTCCTCTCCGCCCTCACCACCCCATTATTTGCCAGAACTCCCTTCTTCTTTTTCATCTCTATTATTCTCACGGGCAACTCATAATTACAAAACCAAGTTACTGGGGGATTAGGAGCCCGCGACACCAACGGGAACTCCATTTACCGAGTTCGGACCTGACCCAGAAAAAGTCAAAATCTAGTAAAACTTAAAACTGAGCCTTCTCTTCTTCCCCCTTCTTCGGTGTCATTGAGGTTGTCTGGAGCATTAGAGCAACTTGCCAAAATGTAGGATATTTTTTTAAGATTGGGAGGGGTGATGAATTAACATGATCCGTTGGTTTCTCAAATTTGTAATCCTGTGGGCCTGAGCAATTCAACGTGGTCTCTGACGAGTGATGGGTGATGGAGAAGATAAAGGTAGGTGGACAAAGGTTGGGGTGGTGTGGGGTGGGGTCCGGGACAAATCATTGATCTTTGTAAACAGCTTAAACCTTGTAAAGAATATCCGAGAAACCAATGATCATGTGCCACGTAAGGATAATGCTGATTTTGTAGGGTTAGATAATATTCATAGTCAACTTCCATTGAATGACGTTGGAAAGTTTCTGTTGGAATATAATTGCACGGTTTTAGCAATGAGCAAATTTAGCCAAACTACTTTGCCTTGTTTGAGTTCATTATCTCAAAATTTAATTTTAATGTTTTCTTAATAAAATAATTTACATATAATTTCAAAAAAAATTCTACTTTTAATGATTTATTTTTAAAAAAATCACTATTACAAAATTCATTTTTTTTTAACATAATGGGGGTCAAACAAAAGCTTTGTTTGGTATATATTCCTTAGAGCCTGTTTGAGAGTGATTTTGAGAATTGATTTTTTGACTGTTAGTAGAAAATTAGGGTCTACCTCTGAGAGAAGAAGTCAAATATGACGGCTGAAATAGTGAAATAATGGTCAAAAAATCAATTTTTGAGGGAAAAAAATCACTCCCAATTAGGCTCTTAAATTCTTCCTCTCTTTTTTTTTTTTCAATTTTTATATTTAATTATATATTATTCTAATAAAATAAATTTTCACATAAATTCATATTTTTTTTTCACATTTTAATCACACGTTATTTTAAAAAATTATTTTTCACAAAATTTATTCTTAATAAATCTTCATACCCTTCGTAAACATGAGTCCCTTTCTTCGTCACAATTTTATCTTCAACCTCCACACTTAACATGTCTTTCACTATGATTTTTTGTTTGAAAAGTCCATAGTGATGACATAAATTGATTTATTTGCTGTACTTTAAATTGCATTGAATGACATCAACATTTATTTGGTTATTCTTCTTTTTTTCTTAATTTATAAATGCATTTAAACGATTTCATTTGTCTAACTTTAATTTAAACATAAATAAATGTTTTATTTGTAATGAATTTAATTTTTTATCTTTTTTGTGTAAAGTTATTTGATCATATTCATCTTTTTGTGAATATTGGTTCTCAATGGACAAATTGAAATTGATCTAACGTATTCAATAAAAAGATGAACTAAAGATAAGATTTATACATTTGATGCCAACTTTTTGCATTTTAGCATTATGTTAATATTAATTTAATTTTCTAAACTAAATATAATGTAAATGTAGAGTATAAAAATACAAAAAAAAATGAGAAAATGCAACTAAATAAAGTGTTATAAAAAATTTACCCCCTTTTTTGTGGGGATTAAAATTATATTTTTAGTAAATTTTGATAAAAGTTGATTAAATGTCTTATTAAAAAGTTGTAGATTCCATAAAATATGTGATTAAAATTAATTGTTGACTTTCACTTGGATTAAAATTTAGATTATAATTTCAACCTAATAGGAGTTTAATGAATTTTCAACCAGTTTTAATAAGTTATTATAAAATATTTATTTATGTTTATTTGTTAATTATTTTTCAATCATATTAGATAAAATCATATGTAATAATTTTATTAATTCTATAACAATATTTATAATGATATTAAAATTCTCAACTATATTTATTAAATTATTCTATAACATTTGTTTATGTTGATTTATTAATTATTTATCAATCGCATTCCAAAAAAATGTATTCAATTATATTAAATTATTTATAATAAGATTTATAATGATTTTTTTAAATACCTTAAATGGTTTCATCTAAATGAAAATTAACAAAAAATATATCTTAAGAAAAAAAAATTGAAAATATACAGTTTAAATATAATAATATAAAATTGTAAACTATAATATAAGGTAGAATGAGAAATGTATATTTACGTTTAGTCGATATGGGGAACATGTTACAAAAATTATACACGAAAGGAAGTTTCTGAATTTTTGAAGAGGAGGGGACTTTGTCTTTGTAATTGTCATGAGCCTCGTGGGAAGTTTATATAATTTGCTCAATTAAGAATATGCAATCTGAAAATAAAATAAAATAAAATTATACAATCTATAATTTATATGATGGTGGTTTGAATTTCATTACAAGTTACTGAAATTATAACGTGGTAGAAATGACAGATAAGGCTGAATAGGTGGATGGTTTTGCGAAGCGTGGGGTTAAAATTAAAATTCGACTTTTTACCTTCAAACTATAATGTGACTATATTGCAACCCAAACAAGTTATTGAATTTTGAAATTATAATTTAAAATGTCAACTTTATTTATTAATAAGAGTAACTCGAGTATTTTCACATTCAATATTTATAATATTTATATCCGAGGTTGATTTATCCATTAACAATCAATCGTGAAATAATGAAGTCAGTTTGTAACCATCAACCACACTTGTGATAAAAAAAATAAAATAATAATAATAATAAATTTATAAAAAAAATCCCATTCGAGAATCAAATGACGAAGAGCGAACACTTATGGGAAGGAAATAATACAAAAATAAAAAAGATAACTATTTATCAAAAACAATAAATGACACATTTATTTGGATCCTTAAATTTACTGAAAAGTTAATTAATTGAGCGATTTTTTATCCTCTAGATGTTGTAATCCCTACTTTGAAGATAAAAATTGTGGAAAAAGAAGTCGTTTAGGGTTTAATTTGGACAAAATGATAAAACTGCACTAGTGTCAAGAAAACATTGAGACTCAATTTAACAAACTTGAAAGCCAATTCGAGGATTTCATAAAGTTTGGGACAAAATTGAACACTCTTAAAGTTTGAGAACCAAAAGGGATTATTAACTCATAAACTAAAGGACAAATATGGAAGGAATCCAAAGTTGAAAGAACAACTTCAACGTGATGAAAAAATGGACGACCAAAATTGATAAAGTGGAAAGTTGGATTGCTAAAATTGATAATGATGGAAGTTCAAGGACTTTTTTTTTTGCAAATAAAAATTGAAAGTTAAAAATTATATAACCTATTTTTATTTAGATAAAAATAATAATTTTAGTAGAAGTTGATGGATTGTGTAGTTAAAAAAGTTTTGGATCTCATTAATGTATTGTTAACTTAATTATTAACTTCGAATTAAACTTTAATATATTATAAACTAGAGAAGTCAATAAACTTGTGTGTTTTATTAATAATCAAAACTTCATATTTGTAGAGAAGAATTAAAGCTACAATAGATACAACAGTCATAATGATTAAAGTTGCGGGGTATAAAAGCCACTCATAAATATTACTATACAACACCCCTTTAAATGACTATTTATATAATATCTATCTCATTGAAATCTTGTTTAACAAAAAACTCAATGAGATAAAAATGCTGACAAATAAAAAAGAGTACAAATAATTTAAAATAATAAAATGTTGCCTTATTAAAACCTTGTCAAGAAAATTTAGTAGGACAAAAATTGATCAAAGGAAAAAATAGTACAACTGCTCCCCAATTTCAATTATTATATCAAGCGATTCATGTTTGGTATGTCAATGCCTTCAATCTTGATATCTTGTATATCAATGTCTTCAAATAACACTGTCTTCATATGAAATATTTATCAAATGATTGCGAAAAATAGCTTCTATTGATATTTTTGAGAGTCTCATATGTATACAAGTATTATTTTGATGATAAATATCTTGAATATTATGAACATTCATTGCACAAATAATACGCCT